GTGTGTGTGTGTGTGTGTGTGTACTCCCCAAAGCAGCCTTTTTTTAGCTTAAAGATGCAGTGGTTTCCCTAGGCTTTTTTTGTGGTCTTAGCTAAAGCGGCAGCAAAATGCCAGTTCAACAGTATTATGGTTTTTGTGTGTGTGTGTGTGAAAGAAAAGTCTTTGATTCTTAGATGGAAATTATTGTCCCACCACCCACTCAACCCATCTTAGTATTTTCTCACATTTGGGTACCTAAGCAAAGACCATGGAACATTTCAGAACAGATATGATGAACTTTAAAAAAAAATGCTTAAAACTTTGCTTATGTGTCATCTTTAAGTGGCTGAAATGGAGGCAAAGAAAGACTTGAACATAATTGCTCAAACCCCACAGACTCTGCTAAACCTCTTTTTATATTTCTGCTTCTGGGTTAGTGAATGTCAAATGATAAGAGTAGTCCTATAGTAAATTATTTCAACATCTTTCCATCAAAGCACTGCAAATGGAGGTGATTGCTATTTGTTGAAACTCTGAGGGGCCTCCTGTTCCTGCATGACCTGTATGACCTGTAGAGCAGAATGTATGTGCTCTCAACCAAACAGTAGCATCTGTCAGGATGAAAGAAGTTATCTGGCATAGCACCTGCCTTCTGGAATTTTCCCCCCCCCCCCCCCCCCCCCAGAGATCCAAATGGTTCCCACCTGTAGATTGCAAGCCTGGTTATTTCCCCAGGTTATGCTTAGTATAATCCCCCTACGGATTTTTCATTTCTTTCTCTCTCTCTCTCTTTCTTTTCTTTTGGATTTTCATTGTTCTTTTTATTCTTATAATGTTGAATGCCGTCCAAAGCCTATATAGAATTGGACACCATTTTAAAACATAATAAATAATGTGATCATTAATTTAATATTACATTTTAATTTAAACTAGTGTGATAAATACTATTTTAATAGATAGTAGATTATTTAAAATAATAATAATAAGGTAATAATCAATTTAATAAATAAACTGATTAGAAATTACAATCATAAATCATAAAAAATCATTTCTCTTCTTCTATTGCCCTTCCGATTTGATCCCATGTATAGATCTAAGGAGAGAATATAGAATAAGTTTAGTCAAGGCAGAGATGGCTTGGAATCTTCAGACATAAGGATCCTTGACAAGGCCTTCAGCCTTTAAAACAATTGTCATGGTGTACTGAAGGATTAAGGTGTGCCCATAGATGAACCTAGACCTGTACCTAGAATAGAAAGCAATGAGGATAGACTGGAAGGTAGAATTGGGTTGTAGGTCAGTCCTTAGACAACTTCAATGTGTACAGACAGATTAAGGCAATCTCTAGATAATGGCAAAGAACGTGAAAAAAAAATCTATCTCTGCTGACAACTAGTGGCCAACTGTAATTCAAATCAGTGATTCAGTAATTCAAATTTGATAGCCTTATCTTTAGAGAATACTCTGAGCCACCACTGTCTTCTTCCATGGTCGCAGTTGGTAGCAGCAAGCTTTGGACATCAGAAGAGATATTTTCAGCATTTGGAACTCTCTACTTCATGAAGTATTTTAAAATATATCTCATGAAGGATCAAATGCCAGACTCCAGAACAGCATGGAATACAAAGACTGGCTTTACATGATAAGATACACAAAATTAAAGAACTACAAAGTTTATAAAAGCTGTATAATACCATCTACTCACTGTAAAAACATTTTTAAATCTGTTCTATGCATATTAATCTTGAAAGATGTCCTTCCGGTATTAGTATTATTTATTAATGAAAGAAAATATGCAAATGACTAGCTTGCAGGTTCCGTAAATTAAAATATATCTTATTGTTTGTTAAATTCAAATCCATAGTTTTAAATTTATTCAACAAATTAAAATGTTTAGTATTATGTCTTTAGAGATATAAATTGCTATATAAGAATTCTAATTAATTTAGTTCTCCAAAGTCATATTAAATTTATTTCTGTAGAAATAAGCTCAGGGGGGAAATCAGGGGAAACACTTTCTTTGGGTTCTGAGCAAATTGACCTGAACAGCAATGAAGCTCAATTCATTCTCCAGATGTTTATTTGGAATTTGCAAGCCATCTTAGCCATCTTATTATAAGAAACTGGCACAGATCAAAATTATTCTGATATTGATATTAGTTGCTGTCTTTTGCACAGAATGCTACTTCATGAAGGTCCATAAGAATAACATGTTTTCCTCAGATGCTTATATTACAACTTTTTTGATATTTTTCTGTAAAGGGCTACTAGATGTATTCACAGTAAATGAATAAATATATTCTCTAATTTGTTTTAGGGGTGTGGAAGTAAAAAAATGTTTCATGGGTCTTGTGCCGCCTATTGAATCAGCTCACATGAAATACTCCAGCTCAAGAGATGTAACGTAAGTAGCAAGTTATATTAACACAATTGTGGTATCATGTAGGGCAAACAAAGATGCAAAGAAAACACATCCATACCATGTGAATGCTCATTTAATTCACAAGTCTGAGTGCACTGAAACGATGTGAATCCTTCAGTGCCAAACAGGAATGGGCAAAAATTAGGAAGGGTTAGGAAGTAAGACACATATTTAAAACATCTCTGTAAGCCAGTCCAAAGACATTTTACCACTGAAGGCAAGAGTCAAAATGATGGTCCTTTATGTTATCCATTGAACTAAGAGGACTAGAAGTAAAATCTTATTTCAAGAATAGTGAAGGATACTTGATAGTGGCAGGCTAGTTTATGAAATGTAATGCATGTTACCTAAAACATTTTTCCCCATCTTTCATCAGAGGCAATTTGTTCATCCTACCCAGCACCTATTAGCATAAGGTCCAAGACCTAATTATGCAAAATTTTAAAGGCAGATCTGAGCTGCATATATTGGGATCAGAGTGTTTGTGCCTTTATGCAGCCATGTTCAGAAACTTGGCAGCTGCATCTCTTAGACTTATTTATATCTATCTTCTGTGATAGATTTTTAAAAATTAATATTGAACACAGAGACTTCTAATCCAACATGAGAAGAGGCAAGTTATAAATGCTCCTTCAACACAATAACTACATTTGAAGTATGTTAAACATTTGCTGTTTTTGTTTGTATAGTCAATCTCCAAGATATAGTTTTATGATGGTTCATTTTATTTTATTTATTTTATTTGATTTTTTGCTATTGCATGTTGTTGAGACAACCTGGTAGCCTGCCATATAACAAATTTATTAAATAAATTGAAGAAAAAAAAAAACTTCCATGGACATTGGTATATAAGTATTTGAAACATGTGTGTGATTGTATGTATGTAGAATTTTTCCATGGATCATCATGGAACACAAGAGTAGACTTTTCCATTTTCAAGTGTTATATTAATCAAAATCAATTTCTATTCCATTTAACCACACACATAGATAGGCCTACATTCAGGTGATCCATAGGACAGCTGTCAAGCTGTCAAACAATTCTGCCAATATTATTTTTCCCATCCTTCCTCAATATTTGTTGATTAACAACTCTTCAAAGAGCAGTAATGACAGTAGTTTGCTTAATGGCAAACCAATTTCCAATATAAATGTCTAAGTTTATGCTATGACAATCTTATAGAAGGCTGGGTCAGTGAAACAGAGTAAAATATTACAGACTGGGTGTCAACTCATTCAGCTTCCCTGATCTGCTTTAAAATCAGATAGGGCAATTAAGTATGACATTGTGATATTGACACAATATCCTGAATGAATCAAAGATTTCTCATAGTTGGTTTCAGTATGAATATATAATTCTCTTTGGGTTTATCTCAGTTAATGATTTTAGTAGGTTGTTAACAGGATATAACAAGGGGTTACAATTGTCAAATTATGATATCAAATCTCTACCCAGCTATAGCATTTGCAGGAGAAAATAGAGACCAGAAATAAATGAGATTATTCTGAGATTCAATTCAAAGACTTTTCAAGTTGAAGTAGAGAAGAGCCTTTAAACTGCTTTCAGAAACCAGTTGTGAAGTGTATAGCAATAGCACTTAACCAATAACAATAGCACTTAACCAATAGCAATAGCACTTAGACGTATATACCACTTCACAGTGTTTTACAGCCCTCTCTAAGTGGTTTACAGAGTCAACATATTGCCCCTAATAATTTGGGTCTTCATTTTATTGACCTCAGAAGGATGGAAGTTAACCTTGAGTCCATCAGGATTGAACTCCAGAGACAGTGGGCAGAGTTAGCCTGTAATACCGCATTCTAACCACTGCGCCATACAGGGGAGTCTGAGGTTGATTTTCTTTCCTGGCTCCAGTACTGCAGCCTTCATTTTTGGTTTCATTTCATCCTAGGAAAAGATTCAGTCAGGAGAACGTTATATTTCAATACTAACTGATTTTAGTACTCATTTTAATTTCCTAATTTTTTTGGGGGGGGGGGAGTACCTTTTTCTGTTTCTTTTGTTTTTAAGTATGCATTATTTGAGACAATCCTCTGTCAAAGTGAAAGATGGAATAGAAGATAGTTAAATAAATAAGAAGCATTAAAATGTTTAGTAAATATAAACCTTTAAAAATGTTTTAAAATATATATCTCCTCCCCCACCCCTTTGTCACTGCACAGACACATACACCAATGTCTCATCTTTTCCAGGGGAGGCCTCTCTATTTCAAGCAATTTGCATTTTTATGTCATTTCAGGCTTTCTACAAAAGAAGTTATCCAGTGGTCCCAGTCCCTAGAAAAGCTTCTGGCAACCCACCGTAAGCATTTCTTTCTAACATTTTGGAGTCTATAACCTTGAAAGAAACTTGGAAAAATGCAGCTGTCACTTTCTTAAAATATGCCTTGACTGAAAAGCATAATTAAAATATGCCTTGACTGAAAAGCATAATTGGTGTTGTCCTTCAGATAATTAAAAAATAAGAATCCTATTTATTCAATAAAATATTCTAAGCCTTGGTTTAATGACTTTTCATATGTACATATGGCCATATACTATACTTTCAAACCATATTCTCTGATACCGATGGAGATTATAATTATGTATATACAGTGGTAGCTTAGTCACTCAACTACTTTGAAACTCATGGAATTTGGTATTCAACACATATTGATGCAAAAATTTTGTACTCATTGTTTGTTTGGTCCGCAATGCATAAGCTAGAAGTTATCAGTGTCGGCTGCCTTGTGACTCACTATTTATTCCTTATGGGAAAAATTTGTTTGGTACACATTGTTTTTGGTACTCCTCATACCTCCTGGAACCAATTAATTATGAGCAGAGAGAGGTTTGATTGTATATTGATTACTATTGTTAATTCTGATTTTTTCAAAGAGACAACATCAGACAAAATTGTTTTTTGTCTTTGTCTTTTGCATTTATGAGAAATTGCAGAAGATTGCACATTTATGCTTGTAGCTTTCTAGTACCTTTCTATTTAGAAAACAACTAATTGCAGCTGTCGTATCATTTATGTAAAATATTGATAGGATGTTCATTTTTCCTTCCTTCAACCTATTTATAATCAATGATTGAATTAACTGAGAAACTGCTCTCAAGCTGATCATTTGACTCTTTTTGGATAACTCACTAATAACTCTAATCATCATTTTGAACAAAATATCAAATTTGCATGAAGTAGAATGAGAAAAAAGTTCAAAAGTAATTCAGAAAGAGTTCAGAAAGAAATAGTCACAGTCCACAAAACTTTCTGGTGATCTTTTCCCCTTTCTATTTCCTAATATTATATTACAAGTTTGCAGTAATATTGTATATCTTCAGATTAGGTTTCCTTAACTGATTTAATGCAATGGCTGGAATTATGTTTCTACTCACTGTAGGTGGTCAAGAGGCATTCAGAGAATTTTTGAAATCAGAATTCAGTGATGAAAACATTGAGTTTTGGCTGGCATGTGAAGATTACAGGAAAACACAGGCTGATTGTTTGCATAGCAAAGCAGAAAAGATTTACCAAGAGTTTGTCAAATTAGATGCCAAAAAACAAGTAAGTTCTAAATCAATTTCAGAATCAACATCGACAGCCAGTCTGTCAAGCTAATTGTGGTGGGGAATCCCTTGGGTATTCTGGCATTGGAACGAAGTACATGCCACTCACTATTTTGAAAAGAGTTAGCCCCGTGCTACTGTGAGCAGTATTATTGTACGCGACCACAGCAACAGGCAAGAGGTCCGCCCAATTGAACTGCTGATAACTCATGTAATATCTCAGGTAGTGTTCTACCATGGTATTCAAATGTTCTGCCCCCTCCCCATTGGTAGTCAGATGAAAAGCTGAGCTAAGGCCCTAGGATGACCCAATAGACTGCAGGAAATCCCTCCAGAACCAGATCCCTCTATCTGAGATGATTCTTCATGGTACTCTATGCAGGCAGTAGATATGTTTTAGGAACAGATTTAACAGAGTAACTGAGTTGGAAGGGACCTTGTAGGTCATCTAGTCTAACCTCCCCCCTCAAGCAGAAAAATGAGGGCAGGAAGAGTTTGGCTAACTGGTGGACTGAGTGTTGTCCGCTGCAGGGTATGAAGTGTGGCTGCTTGGAGGATAAATCAATCACCATCCAGATCACTGACTTCAGATAATTCTCCCTCTGCCATGGTAACCTGAGTTTCTCTCCACGCACCTCTGGCATCAGGAGTGGACAGAGAGTCCAGGGTTCAGGAATCTAATGCTAAGAGAATCATTTTCACATAGTAAAATTTATTTTATCAAAGATTATTTATCAAAGATTGATTTTGTATCTCTTCAGGGTTTTTTTTCCCCTTTTATCATGAAATAAAAGACATTGTAGCTCCATAGGAGGTTGAGATCCCACAGTCATGAACAGACTATTTGCCTTATGTTAAGAATGAAATCCTGCAATCATTATTTAATTTGCTCTTTATGCCAGGGGTCCCCAATCCCTGGTCCATGGACTGACATGGGTTGTGGCATGCCAGAAACTGGGCCACACAAACAAAGCCTCATCCACAGGATGTAGGTCGCATGTGAAACCATGCCCCTTCCAATCCATGGAAAAAACTCTGTCCACGGAAACAGTCCTGGTTGCTCAAAAGATTGGAGGCTGCTGATTTATGACATAAGCCCTCAGTTACATGCAAACGTCTCTTCATATTGGAAGAGTCTACTTGCAAATTATCTGAACTGTATCAGTTATATGCACATTTATATGCCCGCCATCTCACAATATCAGTGAACTGAGAAATATAAACACTGCTTGGGGATTGATCTCATTTCTCAATAACTGCTTAAAGATGTAATGTAGCAATCATTCAAGTTGCATTGAGTTTGACTTTAAACATTACTCTATCAATGGGGTAGTTTTTACAAAGATGTTGAAATTTCATTTTGTTCTCTCCAGGTCAACATTGACTTTCACATAAGAAAATCTGTAGCTAAGAAAGTTCAAGATCCCACACCTTCAAGTTTTGATGAGGTTCAAAGACTTATATATGTATTGATGGAGAGAGACTCTTATCCAAGATTCCTTAAATCTCAACATTACCATAACCTACTAAACAAGGTTCAAAGCAACCGTCTCAAGTGAAAACTGAGGATCAGCTCTGAAGTTTCAAAGTTGCTGTGCTTCAGTATACTAAGTGAGACTGTTGGAACTAAGATGGCAAGGAAATGATGGAACTCTTAAACAAGAGGTGCAATCTATCAAGTTGAAGTGTCTGGAACACACCTTATAAGGAGAAAGAAGAAAGAATAAAAGGAAAAAGAGACAAGCTGCCTTGAAACTGGTCAGATTCACTCGACGCACACCCTTCTAATATTCTTTCAAGTTAAACTTATCAAAAGTTGTGAACAAAAAAGATCTGAGTTTAATTGCACAGATATCAAGACAAATTTCAGGCTGTTTATATTGTGTGCATTATTTCCTTCTTAAACATTTGATCTTATAGAGCTAGATGTATGACCAGATTCCCTTAAAAGGTATTGCTTGTGAGGAATAAGGAGTACAGTGAGTTCAAAGCTGTGCTTTCACTTTATGCTCCATGGCTCAGGCAAATTGATGCAAATCAAACTTGGATAGACTCAAGAGAAAAACATGTATCTATGAACAATGCCAAACATCCTCTAGGGCTAGGCTTTCCAAATCAGTTTGAATTTAGCACAAATTATCATCAGATATTGCACTATTTATTCATGAGAAATGTTAGGAAGTACAATATTCTTCAAGACAATTGTGTCATGGTCACTAAGGCATATAATCAGTCCAAACCCTCTGCTAAAGAATTTGGAAAACAACCTGGTATTCACAACAACCTTGACTAACAACTCCCCCCTCCATCCCTGTGATTACCAAACCAGGGAATTTTTCAAGCATACAGGTTGTAATATATATTTAGCAAGCTGGGGCAATTTGTTGGGATGCTTTGTTAAATCTAATTCATAATGATAATACATGACCATCTCTAGAGGCTCAAAAGCCTATGGCTAAAAAAGTAAGTGGCCCCTTATTAATTGTTTCAAATTTTAAAAAAAGCTCATTATCCCAAAAGAAGACAGGAAGGAGTACTGATTTTATATGCTATAAGTCAATAAAATATTTCTCTGCTAGTGACATATGTCCTTGCACAATCTGGTGTGTGGATATCAGCTATTTCAAGTCTCCTGCTCTTCCTTCTATGGATACTTTCTCTTTCAAGTAAATTCAGACTTTGGACTCTTCCAATAGAGGATACCTTCAAACTTAGATCTGGTCTCTGTAAAGTCAGACACATGGCCTCATTCCCAAGAACTCTTCCAACTAAACCCCTGCAAAGTTGAACTGTGATTTATTGGTTTGTTCTTCTACTAACTGGACTCTGAATTCAAACAATACTGGACTGATATATTTCCAGACAGTCTTACTGTTTTTGTTGTTGTTGTTTTGTAACTGATTAATGGGCAACTAGTGGAAGTATATCCCATTGTCATTCCTTTGGTTCAAATTTATTTAGTCTTATTAAAACTGTGGGGAATGGAGGAAAATATATCCAAAATAGACCTGTCCAGATACTACTCTGCTTGCAGGAGAGATGACAGGTTGCCAGCCACCTGGCAAATAAGCTGAACTGATCTTTCAATAGCTTTGATTTTACAACTAGTGGATTGAAAGAAGTTTATGGAATGAAAATAAATAAACTCTAGATGCACAGATAGATATACAATCATACACACTTGCTCACAGAACATCATATAACTGTGAATAATGTGAGATTGTGGTTGAAGGTTTTGGAATAAAGTTCATGTGATTTGGGGGCAATTACTTTCTTTCCCAATTGCCTACATTCCTAGATTGTTCTGAAGAGTATCCTTGTCTTTCAGAAGGGATTCAGAAGGGAAGTTGCTACAAAGAAGAGAAAGAGACATAATACCTTTATGTGTATAGGCTGGTATAAACTGCCTTAATTTAGCCCAGATCCAAGCCATTCTATTTAGATGTGTTAGCCCTTCCTCTTAAAATAATTATTACTAGCCCCAGTATATCCCATTAAATATATACAGTATGTATTTTGATATCCATGGTTTATGAAGCTGGGTGTATTGTATGTTTCTGTAAATATTGATAGACTGGAACTTGACTTTCTGGCATTATAAGCTAATATTTAAGTAAGTGCGTATCAGCTATATGTAAGTGATATTAATATTTTGTGCATTACAAATTGTAAACTGATAACTAATGACCATTAGATTAAAATATATTGTATTAAAATATATTGAAATAACTTGTGCTTTGGTAACTATTTTTCCCTTTGTTATTAACAACTTTGAAAAGTGTATGAAGCTCAATGAATTATGCAGGTATGTTTAGCAACTGGAACTAATTTGTAACGACAGTTCCCTTGAATTTACAGGGCAATTTTCTTTTTCCAACATTTCAAGTTATGTCATTCTTACCCAGCTTTATTAATTTAACCATAAGAAACGCTGAACACCAAAAAAAAAAGTCTAAACTTGTATATAGCTGTCACTCATTGCCAAGAACACTGGTTTGATTGTCTGGACTCATTTCAATCAATTTCTTGCCTCAGTTTTAGAATTGAAACTCGAGAATGCACATGTGTAAAATTCAATCAAGTCTGCTTTTTCCTTCCTTAGACCAGTAGTCTGGAAGGGGGATCAAAGGCAATGTTTGATTGGTATGGTATTTGTCAGTTATATTTTCCCTTCTATCATGTTTAAGAACTACTTAAAACTGAAGACTGATCTGATAATTTATTGTGAAATATCATCAGTATGCCATTGATCACATTCAGCTAGAATGGTGAAATAAGGCTAATATGAATGTTTATGTATTACAGGCACTGAAGGAGCACATGCTCTGTTGTTTCTCTATATCCAGAGTCACAGGGGCATTGCCTCTTCCAGTAGGGAATTTTCCTGTATTGGCCTTCAAGAACAGCTGAGGAGAGGGCATGCCATCATGCCAGAGTAAAGGCCCTCTGGTGGCATTTATGTTGTTTACACTGGCCTGCATGAAGCAGCTTGTTACTTTGCAGAGACCAAGTGTTTTCCATTCCTGAACTAAAGAGATGGCATATTTTCTTTGACAAAGTACTTTGCGGGGAGTTCAGTGGAGGGAAGGGTCAAAATGGCAATCACAGTTCCATGATTAAAGTTCTGCCCTTTGTATATTCCATATCACTGCACATACAAAAGGGACAAGGCTTCCATCACAATCACCACCTCAACTTTTCTCTCATACTCCCTACCCAGCATGCAGATGCCCCTGGTCTTCTTCTTCTTCTTCTCTTCTTCTTTTCTTTTACCTCTTCTTTTTGTTGTCATTTTCATAGAATCTATTCATAGAATAACAGAGTTGGAAGGGTCCTTGGAGGTCATCTAGTCCAACCCCCCTGCTCAAGCAGGAGAGTCTATTCCAAATATTAGCCTCTACCTAAGATCGAACTCACAACATCCTGGTTGTGAGGTGAGAGCTCCACCTCTAGGCCACCTTGAAGTCTCAACTCAGAAACAAGGAAGAGGGAAGTAATATGGCCACATGCTTAATTTTCCTTTACTTCTGCAAACAGAAAAGTTGTCCTGTTCTGAAAAGGATTTTGGAAGGTGTGCTTGCAATATTAAAGGAAATCACTTCTTCAACAATTCATATAGTGCTACAACCCCAAAAAGGAAGGAGTTTGGAAGGCTTTTTGAATTTAATGAATATTTCCCCAATTCTTAAAAACTTAATATAAAGCAACTCTGAAGGGTCGCTATAAAAAATAAAAACTTCCCCAGGATGCAAAATCTAAGCTTATTGGAAGCCTGACAGCACAGTATATTACTAATATTAAGCAGCATTTAACAGTTATGAAGACACTTGATATGTGCAAGAAAAGCAGAGCAACATCTTTTGAGCTGATAAATTGTAGGGCTGGGCTAAGCTGCATAATCAAATCTACATTTCATTGTGTTGACTTGTTAAAAGCTCTAGACACATTGCAGAGGTTATTTATCAAGAAGGTCTATAACTGGCAAAGCTAAATCATCGGGCCAGGCTTTTCCTGCCTGGGTAGAATTTTTCATGGAAAAAACAAAGCATAATTTACAATGGCAATATTGCCTTACAAGAGCAATTTACATTTAGCTTGCATCCTTTTCCACTTGAAATTCTAGAGCCTCTGCCAAAGAAGACCACAGTGCCTGTTGATAGCTGATGTCAAAATCTCAAAACAATATCTGTGTTTTGGAATCACTAAGTGATACAAAAAACAAAAAAAGAATCACAAAACGTATAGCCCTGTGTGTTAAGCATTTATGATGGACATAAATAAAAAGGAAGCTGTTATTGACTGCATCTTTGCATCTTGCCATGCCACAAATAAAAAGCTGTTTTTCACTTTTAGGTAAGACTCTTTCAATTCTTCCATATTCCAGATCTAATTTTGTTTCATTTCTGTTTAAGGATACCAGCGTAACTAATATATGAACCACTTCAATATGGACCAAGTCATAAGGCCATGTGAAGCCATTGTCCCATGCTTGAAAGCCTCTGCAAGCGATATTCTCAGATCTGGGATGATTTATGTATAAATAAAATTTAAAAAAATATTTTAAAAAAAGATCTGGGATGATTTGTCCCCTCTCTAGGCTTTGGTAGAGTAAGAATTCCTTTTATCACAGGAAAATGGATGGCCACTCATTTATGATGTTGGTCCTATGCATGCTTCAGTCCTCTCTGTACTCCAACAGTGTATGCCCACTAATAGACTTTCAGTGTGGGAATTCAACCCTGCACAGGAAATCAAAGGTTTGCTAACTACATTGTAAAGCTTCTGTTGAGAGGAAAAGCAGAAGACAACTTTGATAAGTTTTGGAAAGACTAGACAACAAAAAGCAAAGACTGAGATGGGGAATATAGCACTAAACTAGAATACATGGGAAATGGTAGCATAGAGGGAATCTAGGATAAGAGAAAAAGAATTAAAGTTTCGAATGCAAATGCCATGGAGAACTTTAACATCACTGCAGGTTTTTTAACAAGACATAATGATCACAGACTGCTAAATATTCAGGAGATATTTTAGTAAATCACACCCTGAAACTACCATTGAAAAGAACCTCCTTCTTGCAAGTTCACAGGAAAATCATTAAAAAGAAACCTAAAAAAGGCTCTAGCTTAAAGTCCTAGGTGATTGGTTGGTTTTAAGATGAAAATCATTCCCTTATTAATTTTTATATATAATCCTATGCCCATTGTTAGAATCTTGTTCAGAATAAATATTTTTAGTCTGAGAAAAAAAAACTTGGACAGTAGAGATATCTGAATGTCTCATTTTTACCATACCTATAATAGCATGAGGCAAAGACCTTGGGAAACAGAAGGAAAAGCAGTTTGAACCTGCTGAAGGAATGAGGCCATGGCAAACATCTCAGAAGGGACCCGCTTTCTAGTTTCTTGGACTGTAAAGGCAACTGGAGAGAGATATGCTTTCAGACTTGCAAAATTCTGTTAATATTACTTTTACATTTATTAATGTAAGAACTAGTACTTCTGAAGACTTCTTGAAGACTGACAATACCTCAGTCATAAAGAGTGGAAGCTCCTTAGTATTTCTTTTTATCTTTTCCTTCTGTTCTTTATCTTTATCTTTTCTGTTTACCTTATTTCTATATTGGTTTGTGTTCATTTTCATATTCTCTTTAAAACTTTTAATAAAAATATATTAAAAAGATATCTGAATAGGTAGAGGTAGAAAGAAAAAGACAGAGATAAAGAGACTGAAAGAAAATGAAAGAAGCTTGGGAGGGAAGTAATAAGAATCTCACTTCCCACAAATTCTTTCCTTCATCCCATCAGAGCTCCCCTATGCTTGTAATTAAATAATTAACTAGTTTGTATCCCAGACTTATATTCTAAGCACTATGCTACACTAGCTTATTTCTTTCACTTGTATGAATTGCTCGTTGCTCTTGGAGTTTTAGAAACTCTCAGTTTAAAATCTGGAAGCTATCACAGTTTTATTTTTTAAAAAAATTACCTAATCACAAAAAGGAGGCTATTCCAGATCAGAGCTAGCTTCCCAACAGGTGAAGTCACATACCATATGAACATGGGGTAGGAGACTAAAACAAAGAAGTGTACAGACTTATTGCCATTCATTTGAATTTTTTCTATCACATAATTTTCTGAGAAAACAAGAGCTAAGGCAAATTCGTCTATGAAAGCCTACTTGCAGAAATGTTCCAGTTTAGCAACATTGCCTATACTGTTAAGGAATAAACACAGATCCAAAACTTAAGACATCTCTCCATTAGCCTGCCATGAGCATGGCACTATATATCTGTTGTTAGATGCATAGCAATGAACATTGGAATCAGATGGTATTCAGAAGATTCTGACCAGTTCTGGAAAACTGGTAGCAGAAATTTTGAGTAGTTCGGAGAACTGGCAAATACCACCTCTGACTGGCCCCACCCCATCTATTCTCTGCTTCCCGAGTCCCAGTTGATCAGCTGGGTCTTCTTTTGTTGCCCTGCACAGGAGAACGGAGCTGGAAAGCAAGTTAGTGGGGTGGGGAGGGAATGGGATTTTGCAATAACCTTCCCCCAGGAGTGGGGAGGGAATGGAGATTTTGCAGTATCCATGCCCACCAAGACACGCCAACCAAGCCAAACCGCGCCCACCAAGCCACTACCACAAAACCAGTAGTAAAAAAAAATTGAATCACGCCACTGATTGGAATACATAGTCAACGTAATTTTCTCCAGCCCTAATGGAAAACAATGACCAACAGATGCCTTGGTTATCTTGAATTAGAAGAATAATCCTTAGAGAGAAATAGATAAATCAGAAGACCTGCTTATAAAAACTAGAGTCCACTCTTTCACATACTAATAAATCTCTGAAATAAATTCCAGATGGATGCTACATAGCATTTACTTCTGTTATTTATTCTTAACAATCAGGGTTATCAAAGACAGAGAAAGGATGTGCTCCATCATGAAATATTATATCATCAAAGTCACTCCTGTTCATTCTTTTAAACAAAGGGCTGTCATTCATTCCTTAGAAAAGGTAAAATTAATTGTGGCTTAAAGTCACCAGACATCCTGTGATTTCTTGTTCAGTTGTCTCCCACGTATTCAGTCACTGAGACATGACCAAAATTGTTTCTAATTTGAGGAACAAAGTGGGGAGGTGTGACTACCCCATGACGTAATTCC